TTCAAAAACCATGCTGTTCATCAACTTGATTAAATCACATATGGACTACCATTAGTTTTAAGATTCACAGATAAAGTAGGTCCCAGAAGGAGACTGGAGGATTACAACTTGAAAGCATATCACATGGCAATTAGCTGCAGGGATCAGGAATAGTAAAAGAGCAGATACCACTCTTCTGTCCCTCTGAACTGGGTTGGGTGTCCCTGATGTGTGTTCTCAGAGCTCCCAGTATATCCCTTTAATAACCTCATCACCTTTCATAGTAATTATGATTGAATGTCTATTCCCAAAATCTAATAGGGGCAGGCACTCTGTCTGTATTGCCCACTGTGTATCCCTAAGAACAAATAACAGAACTGAGAATGTCCTCCCAAAAGAAGGAGCCTTGGAGGAGTATCTGAAGCCCAGAGGAGTTCAAAGGCTGAGCGTTGATTTCCTCCGTTCAGATGACATCTCCTATATTTCCAGTGAATATGTGTTGAATGAATGGTGTGGGGGGAGGTTGGTTGGAAGGAAAACAGAGAAGAGCTGGGAGTTTTTTATCCTATCCGGACTTCATAATCCTGAATCAGAAAAAGCACTCAGGGTACCAGTTTCCATCACTCCACTCAGGGTTCCAGGTTCCATCACTCCCCAACTGTTTTTGGAATCCCCTGAGAGGTGAGGAGAGTCAAGGATAAGACATTTAAGACAGGCATTAGGCATTGGCTCCAGGCCCTCCCTTAACTAAGTTTCCTCTTCAAGAATTTCTTTTCTTTTTTCTTTTTTTTTTTACTTTAAACTATGGTTTTTATTAAATATAGGTTACAGCATCCAGAGCCATTTGGAAACAGAGACAGCATGGTTTTAATGGTCATGAACTAGTGAGAATTAACCCTTATTGTAGTAGTTTCTCAAAACACATCTAAACCATTCACTGCACTGTATTGATTATGAATAGAAGCTGATATTTTATACTGATCTGAGTATAATAATAAGAGTGCCAGATATTGGATCTCCTGGACTGATCCTCTCATTTTCTTGTCTTTTATTTCCTATAAACTAGAAAACCTAAGCAGTTTTGAATTTACTAGGGGACATACAGTAGATGAGATCTAACTAGTTTTTCTCATCTACAATTTCCCTGTCCTCAAGAATTTCTTAAGAAAAAAATTCATAAAGGCTTCTGAGAATACAATTCTCAAGCATCCTGGGACAAGAGCTCAGGCAGAGATCTCTTGCTGTGTCAGGAGGCAGCTCCGTACAATTCAACAAGCACTTTTCACACCCACCATGTGCCAAGCATCATACTAGATAATGTTCTACATGCAATTTCTCTCTCTCCTTTACATAAATGCTTGTTTTTATTAAAATAATACACGCCCTTGGTTTAAAAGCCAAATAATGCTAACAGGCTCATAAACAAGGCAGTGTTCCCTGCACCATCACCCCCTACAAATCCATCCTGCTTCTTAGACACAGCCTCCCAACTATCTCAGCTCTTTATCTTGGAGTTTTCCTCCAGATTTCTAGATAGTTATATGAATTTCACTCTCTCTGAAATCATCCACTTTAGATATTACCTAGTGACTTCCTACTATGATGAACAAAGATTTTAGCTCTATTCATACCCTTCTTTCCATCTCCATCCTCCTTCTATGGTTACATCACCAGCTTTTATTAAATTCATATTTGTCCCTTTTATGATTATGACCATGTAAATATCATTTACTGCTGAGTTAATAGCAATTGTTTCCTTTTCCTATTTTAATTTATAGTTAAATCTTTCCATCCTCACCAACCACTACAAAACAGCTCTCAATACAATTTTCCACAGAATCAATTCTGCCAGAATAATCTATTCTTTTCTTTTTCTCCAGCCTCTCCTGGCCCCCCACTGATGTGACTCTCTTCCAGAGGCCTTCAACTAACACTGCTCCCATTTGGACTGGTGGCTGACTTTCCAAGGCTCTATTTCATGGCTCTTGAGCTAAGACCTTCCTTTGTCATCACCCCAGGAAACTCCTTAGCTTTCCTCCCACATGGAATACCTGTTTCTTAGATTCCATGTCTTCTTTCTTGGTTTACTCACTGGGCTTCATGAAATACACTCTCTCTTAGCATTTTAACAAAGGTGCAAGGAGGTAAATTTTTTGAGACTTTGCATATCTGAAAACATCATTCTACCTTTACAAATTAGAATTTGAATTTAGAATTCTCAGTTGAAAATTATTGCCCCTAAAAGTTCTGTCTCCTTTGTTTCAGAAACTTTTAGGTTCCAGTGTTATTTATTGTTGAGAAAGCTGATATCATTCTGGTTCTAGAACATTTGTATGTGAGCAGGTTTTTTGGGAAATTTGAGAATCTTATCTTTATCTCTGCTATTCTGAAATTTCATAAGGAAATGCTTTAATATAGATATTATTCTTTCATTTTGCTGAGCACCGGTGTGGATCGTTCAATTTTGGGAATTTGCTTGTATTTTTTTGTTAATATTTCCCTCCCCTTTATTTTTACTCTGCTGCCTAGAATTCCCATTAGCCAGATATAGGGTCTCCTGCACTGCTGCTCTCATTTTCTTGTCTTTTATCTCCTATAATACATCCCTGTGTCTCTTTTATTCTTCTTCTCATGAGATATCTCTAACATTAACTTCCAACCCTTTCGCTGAAAAAATTAAATCAGCTATCACTGTTTTAATTTTCAAAAACACTTTATTCTGATTTTTAAAAATAAGCATGTAACCCATTGTCCTTATTTTTTAAATGTACTATCTTCTTATATCTTCCTTAGAATATGATGATCTGTCTTTCTTTAGTTTCTTTTTACCTTTGTTTTGATCTATTTCTTTTTTGTTGGAGACTGTCCATTTCTATTAAGCATCAGGTCCTAAAAAGTTAATTGGAAGCTCTTTATAAAAGGGCATTAATCATAGGGTACTTTTCATGTGTACCTCCAAATGCCTTGGAGCAATTCAGTTTCTCTGGAGGAACTTCCAAACCCTGCCTTCTAGTTAAAGTCTAGCTGTTGGCATTAAGCTGTGTATGTGTTATGTGTATATCACATAAGATCCATTTTCCATCTAGGCTTTCATCTCAACTGTCCTTATGTATCATCTGTCAGTTTCTCCAGAGAAAGTGGCTCTTGATTCCTGTAGAATTGCTCATGGCCCTTGGCTTTATGGGACCAAAATAGGAGTTCTTACACCAACCTCTTGCTGTCATCTCCCTCCAGCTCCACCTTCCATAGTGTCCAGCACCTAGTACCTCCAGGTCCTAAAACTGTCAGGGCTCTGTAAGGGAAATAGTTTGCTTCTTGTTGACATCTTCTTTGGCAGGTATTTCAATGTCATCTTTCCCTGTTCTGCAAAGGCATTTATTATTCCTCCATCCCATTTCTGTCTTTGTGTATGAGATGGGATTGCTGACTTCTCCTAGTTTCATTGAGGACAGAGTTTTATAAATTTTCTTGTTCACCTTGTTATTTGGTGAAAAGTTTCCATAGAAGAAGGACGAAATGCATTTATCATCTTAAAACCACAAGTATGTGTTAAGTAGACAGTAAGTCTACGTTATCTTTTAATCCTCACAACTCTTAACATGGCCATTAATAGAAATGAGATTCAGAGAAGTTAAGTTCTCTACCCAAGGTCAAAGTGCAAAAGTAGTTAAGAAACCAGATCTGACCAAGGCCTAACCCTTACTTTTTCTTTTACTCTCTCCTCCCACCCAACATGCTGAGATCAAGGGAGGATGGCAAACTATTGTTCATCCTGGATCTATGCCTGGAAGTGCAATTTGAGGAAGCTTTTTGGTGTAAGCTATTAATCATGGATATCATATAAGAAATAAGATATATTAAAAGTAGGGTGCAGCGTTGGGAAAAGAGGCTGAAGGACTCCCGGCAAACTCTCACTTAGACTGTTAAGAAAGTTAGAAGGCATAAGTCCTAAGGTTAGTGAGGCCAAAGGCGTCACATTGTGAAGGCAAGGGAAATCCTCCTGTGGGCACTGGACTTTAGCCCATATAAGACACTGGTGACTTTCAGACCTCTAGCTTCATTGCTATCAGGATTAGAGGATTTCTATGTTCTCCAGACTGGCTCTCACTGGCTTCAGCCAGGGTAGGGTTCAGTTTCCAGGTGACTAAAAGGACTGGTAATAGAGCAGGTTAGAACTGACCACACTGGCCCATCCTGTCTGTGCTTGTTTCATTTTTTAGACAGAAGAGTATGTCATGAAACTAACCCATTTACTTTTATTTTGGTAGAGTTTCCCTGAGGCTGGCACATCGGTTTCATTTCATAGACCAACTCTGATCAGTGATGGCTACATGGAGCACCACAGGGAGAATGACTCTGTGGCTTTATCGGGGCTGAGAAGAATAGAATGTCACAGTTGATTCGTGGTGGAGAAGCTGGAGATCTGGAAGTCACCAATGTATAGGCTCCCATGGGTATTGAGGAGTTCAAGAACATGCACTATCACCAATCCAGGTGGTCTTGTCTTCCCAGATTTGTGTCCTCCATTAGTGTTATCAGGATGCTTTCAATGTCTTTATTCAAGTTATTGGTAGGAGTTGAACCAGACAGACCTGAGGACACTGCCATTGGGTACAGTATTAAGGTTGACCTCAAGCTTGGCAGCAATGTGCCACAATTGAATATAGTCTGTCACATTTAGTATTCGTTTTGAAATTGCTTCAAGGCAAAATTTTCCCATCTTGTGTCCACAAGACTTTTTCTGGAAAGTCTCCTCCTGGGATAGGATGGGGAAAGTGCATTCTTTTTATGATGTCCATTCTTGAGACACATAAACTGGGATGTTGAGCAGTGAGTGGATCAGAAGAGAAAAGAGATAAGCTCTCCTGCTATGATCCCTGGAGCTTCTTGTTTAGATAGCAGCTCTCGGAGGACTCCAGTCTGTGGACTCCTTTCATGTTCCGAGTAAACGCTGAGTCTCGTGGGGAAAATGAGCAGTAAAGATTACACGGAACATAACAAAAATAAACAGGCACACTCCATTGCAAGCAGCTCATACTTTTATCATAAAATACAAACTTTCTAAAATTAAGTGTCTTACTTCTATTTTACCAACAACAGAAACAAAAATCACTCATGTTAGCTAAATACAAGTGCTTAAGTGGTTGAGCAAGCAAGTATGAATATGAGGGGTGTGTGTGTGTGCATGTAGCTTGTGCTGCGTGTAAGGAGGCTGTGTGCATGTGAGTGTTGGTCAATAGATGAATCTGGTCTTGATGTTTTCTGTCTGTGACCTGGTCAGAACCTTGGCTTTCCAACCTTCATACCAAGCTGTTGCAGAATCCAGAATTCCAGAGCCCTCAGCCCTGATCCAAGGGCTAAGGGAGGAAGGGGGTGAAGAAAAGGAGATCTAAAAATTTATGCCATTCCCACTGGAGGAAAAATAGGGGCTATTCATCAGGGGGCCTCCAGATGTTGAGCCGAACCTGGAAGAGAGGAAGAGTGGGTGCCATAATGAGATTCCTGATGTTATCAGGGAGATTAGAAAAAAATAATATATTAATTTTGTGACTGTCAAAGACTGTGAAGACCATGATAGGCTTGGAGGCTAAATGTTTTAGTCTATTAGCAAAGCTTTGGCTCTGGGAAAATATTAAAATAATACAATTAGAGGACTATAAAGAGTTTCTCTTGCCACTTACTTGGATCAGGAAGCCCCTGGTAGCCTGTCACTCTCTCCATGCCCAGGAACACAGAGCAGGGATCCTCTCTGTATCCAAACATTTCACTGGTACACCCATGACCATTATGCCTGCCTTAGAGGACCAGGTGTGCTTCCCAGCAAAGTCCATAACATCAGAGAACTCAGAGGGCAGGACCCAGCATTAGCTCTTAGAGTTTGGACATTCCTAAGACCCCTTCTTTTCTTATCAGCACCAAGCTATATCAGGCCCTTCATTTCAACCCTTCTGAAAGTAAGCCTTGAGACAGCACTGAGTGCCTGGGGCTTTGTTAGACCCAGAGGGAAGGAAGAGCAAAGAAGACATGTGCCTCACCCTCTAAGACAGAAATGCACACAGCTCTCCTTTTTCTCTCCGGCACACTCCTACTTATACTTCAAAATCGAGTTCAAAAGCCATCTCCTCTGTGAAGACTTCCCCGACCTCTCCAGATGAAATCATGTACTCACGCTTCTGGATCCTACTGCAATTTCTTCACCCATCTGCTAGGATACTTTGAATGAACAGGAACAGAGCTCAATACAAATTACAGTAGAGCAAATGGCTAGATTTAATCTAATCCTGGGATTCTCAATCACTTCTCAGCTGGGCAGATGCATATTACAGAAGAGGTTCATGTTCGTGGCACCCTCCCATGAATTGATGAAACAAAAAAGGGAGGCGGAGATGGAGGAAGCAATGTAGACAGACCACTGCATCAATGTGCAACGCCTCAGCTGATAACAGGATCTGCTGCCCAGTGAGCGACCATGAACAGTGAGACTGGGTTATGTTTCACTCTCTTCTCACTAAATCATCTTCCCTGAGAGCAGGGACGTTGTCTAGACTGCTCACCATTTTACACCCAGCATCCAGCCTAGGACCTGGCATGAGGTGGGTGCCTAATAAGCTATCAATGCCAGGGTAGCTCAATCTCTTTTTCTCTCTTTCAAAAATTATATTGGGAGATTAATGACCGAAAGGGATGCTATCGTAGGGATACACTGGATTCTGCTCTGACTGATACAATAAAGGCTGCAACCCAGACTTCAGTGAGTGGGTCTTCTTTTCATCATTCTGTGGCCCCTGCCTCTCTCCTTTTCCTTTCTTCACTTGGCTTCCTGCACTCCACACTCTCCCATTTCTTCTCCCACCTCACTAGATGCTCCTTCTTAGCTCCTGTGCTGGTTCCACCGCATCTCCGCAGCCTCCCTCTGTGCTGGACGCCTCAAGGCTCAACCTCTTCTCTTCTTCTACATGCACCACACTTTCTGGGCGATCTCATCCCATCCCATCTCATGCCTTTCAATATCATCTATATGCTAATGGCTTCCAAATTTATTACCAGCCCAACCTTTCCCCTGAGCTCCAGACTCCTATATCTACCTACCTATCAACGAATTCACTCATCTGTCTAACAAGCATCTTAAATTTCACATGTCCAAGACCTATCTCTTGACAAACAACTATTTGCCCTAGTTCCTCTTGACCTTAGTCTTGCTCTAGTCATTGTGACCTCTGCATTTCAGCATTACCACTTCTCTATTTTCATAAGCCCCAAACCAAGGAATCACGCTTGACTCTTCTCATTTTCTCATTCCACATCCAACTATCATCAGATTCCATCAATTGAACCAAGGAAATAGATATTCCAGATCTTTCCACCTGTCCTCTTTCCCACAGTCAGAGCCCTCATCTATGCCACCAGCACCTCTTGCTTGGTCAACTGTAAAGCTCCTAACTTGCTCCCCTGCCTCAGCTGTACCCTCTTGGTTTGTTCCTCATGCATTAGCATTAGCATGGGATTAGCATGGGATGCAGGCCAATGTAATCTGTTTTGTGTAGAAGATTAGAACCTGTCTCTACAGTTTAAAAATCATCATGGCATCCCACTCCTCTTAAAAGAAAACTCCGTGCCACGCCCACCAGGCCCTGTGTAGCCTGGCCCTGGTTGCTTCTCTGACTTCACAGTTCCACCCACTCCCTCATTGTGTTCCAGCCACGTGTTTCCCTCTTGGAGCCTTTGCACATTCTACTCTTTCTTCCCAGCGTGCTCACTCCCATATCTATGCATGGCTCTTCCTCTGTCTTCATTGAGATTTTGGCTTGCAAGACCTCCCTTGATTCTCCCCCCTTATTCTGAGCACCTGAGCTTGTACACTTGCTTATCTCCTATCTATTTCTCCCCCTAAAAGAAAATCTCCTTGAGAGAAGGAAACACATTGTCTTGTTCACTCCAGAATCCCCAGTGCCTACAACAGAGCCAGGCATATACATGGTGTTCACTTGGTATTTTTTGAGTGATCAAATCATCCTCTTCAGACACTAGCCTGCACCTTTTGCATCACTTTTCTGACCTCATTGTCCTGGTCTTTCCGGTCTCTCTGGGTGCCATTCTGCCCGCTCATGGTTGCTTCTCCCTGTCAGTCACTCTCCTTTGCCGCCATTGTCTTGGGCTCTCTCCAGGCTGTCACCTAGTTCTCAGACTGCTCCTCCTTCAGTCTCCCGCCTACTCCCTCCCCTCCCTTGCTTCTCTGCAGTCATGCAGAGACCAGGTCTCAACCCTCTGCTCTCACATCTCCCAATCAGCGCTTCCCAGTGCTGACTCAGGATGCCCTCCCTCCCAAGGATAGCCAGTCTCTTTCCCTGAGCCCAGAGTTACAGCATGGAATGTGGGAAGTTGGACTGCCAGCAGGTATCTGTCTACATCCCCAATCTCATCTCCAGGTGGTGATAACCTCTCCTACAGACCCCCATAGTCACCTCCGCCCAGCATTTTTTTTTTTTTGCCTCCAGGTTCTCCCCACCTCCAGTACATCAGTTTACTCTGAGGTGCACAAATCGTCACTGGATCCCCAGGCCTGGCAGTCAAAAGTCTTTCATAATTCAATCCCAACCTCCCTTTTCCAATCCTATTTTCTACCTTTTTTCAGGGACAAACCTAATACTTCAGCCAGATACCTTTATCTCCCAGGCCTCCAGCTTCCTGTGCACCTTTCATCTGAGGCCTTGCTCCCAGGGCTGGAATGTTCTGCTCCCAGTGCTGCTCCCTGGAGCCTCCCACCCTGTAGAGATCCTACTTCTGTCCCCAAGACATTTTGATGGTCTTCACTTTGCCAGGGTGCTAACATTGTTGTGCCCATATCTCATCTGCTTCCTGCTATCTGAAGGGAGGAAGCCTGCCCTATTCATCTACAGGTCCCCCGAGGACTAAATTCAAATAAACTACATGAGTTAACACAGCTCTTCTGAGGGTGCCTAGGGTGGGTGGAACACACCATGATATGCTCTACAAGACAAAGGAAGGGGGGGAGAAGAGAAGAGGGAGGGAGGTGAGGGGAGGGGAAGAGAGGGGAGAGGCAAAGAAGGGGAGGGGCAGGGAAGGGAGGGGAAGGAAAAAGAATTTTTTTAAGGGTGTGGACTTCATGTTCAAATAACACTATCGACCACCTTCTCGAACATTCTCCATGCACCCTAGGAAATTAAATGATCTGAGAATTCCAACAGTTAAGAAATCTGTTTATCTTTGTTTCTCACAGCTTTTCCCAGACAGATCTAACTACAGAAACCACTTTCTAGCACTTATCCCTGTTAACAAGATATTTGGGGAAGCCGCTGATTGAAAGGATGAGAGTTTGGAGACATGCAGTTGGCACACAGTGACAGTCTGTGATGGGGAGCAGGAGGATGAAAATCAATGTCAGGTTGGGGATTTTGGCCATAATCCTAAAAACTGAGTTTCTCAAAATGGGGCATCCATTCCCCAGGGGTGTGTCTGGAAGACTGGGATTCACAGGAACCAACCATCACCACCTGCTGCTTGTAGCGCCCATTAGTTGAAGGTTTGGTGAGTGGGAATGAACAGTTATTTGTTATAGTAAGACAAACACAAATTTATTGTTCAGCAGCATGCAGAACTTGAGTAGAAATTGAGTTTGTCTTGGTTTTTTGCTGCTAAGCCCTTAAGACCACTCCAGGAAATAGAATCTCCTCGCCTCTGTGGTTTCGAGTACTTGGTGGACAAGTATGAGCAGCCCTGATAAGCCATTGAAGGTCCTTCAGTGGAGCCTGTCACCAAGTCCATGGGATGTTCAGAAGATGAGCCTGGCCAGGAGCTCAGGGTACAACCAGTGGGAAAGAGAGCTCTAAGAGGCACATGGCCATGTCCTGTTGTAAACCAAGCACCTGGGTCAATCAAGGCAAATGCACCACCCCCAACACCTGCCCCTGCCTGTGGATTCAGGTATTCACCTGCTAGGGACTGTATAGTTGCATTTCTGCAACCAGCCTTGAAATAGACCAAGAAAAGGGGCCCACCAGACCTCAGACCCTGCTCACATTCATACAAGGTCCCACCAGGACCCACACGGCCACTGGCCACAGACACATGGCCCATCCCTCCCACAGCCATGGGACGTACATACCAAGAAAGCACGGGTAAGCCTACCCCTCTCACCACTCTATTCCCCAGCGGCTTTCTGGATACTGTCGGGCTTCCAGGGTGGGTTAAAGACTCACCCATAGGCCTGGGGGAAGAGGAACTGCGGCCCATCTCCTGCCATGGTGGGAGGGTCTCGGGGGTTGGCAGGCAACTTTGGAGGTGTCCTCTGTGGGTAGGAATAGTTGGGTTGGACAAAGGGTATGTAGCTCAGCAGGGGGGTGTAGGAAGAGTGAAAAATCTGCTGCCCCATTTGCTGTGGGTTGTACGGTGTCACCTGTAGGTTAGAGAAGAGGGAGGAGCAACGTCACCATTCCCCAGCCCTAATCCTAATCCCAGCTGCCACCCTTCAGCTTCCGTGTCCTTTAGTCACTATGAGGTATGTAGAAACCAGCATGTTGGAAGGGAGTGAGGCTGGAAAGTTACTTAATTTATTTGAGCCTCAGTTTCCTCTTTGGCAAAATGGGCAGATACTACCTACATTGTGTGGGGACCAAGTCAGTTGGTATAAGTAAAAAGACAAAGACAGGCATATAATAAATAGCAAATGTTATTTTCACTCTCTTCTCTTTCTCCCCAGCTTTCCCTTTTTGAGGGATGTTAATAACCATCGCTAAAGCCCCTTATTTATTTGTAAGGCTTTTATTACCCCCCAAAAAGCTGTTTTGACTTATACAGCTCTGGCTTCTATCTCAGGATCTCAACAGATTCCAAGTCCAAGACAGCCCTGCCCAGTGGAAATTTCCGCGATAGCAGCAAGGCCCGACACCTGTACCACTCATGGAAGTTGAGCACTTGGAGTGTGTGCGTGTGTCTGTGCAGTATGAAGGAGGAATTATAGTGTGAAGGAGTTTTACGTAACTTTACTGTAAACTTAAATAGCTGCACATGGCTAGTGGCTACCGTAGTGGACAGTGTGAGTCTAGGAAGAAGAACAGCGAAAAGACCGTGGGGCTCAGCTCGAATCCTGAGGAAATATAGGAATTCGTGGGATTTCTGAGACTTGGAACAAACTCTAAGACCTGAGGTTCCCGCCATCTTGCCCCTGGCAGGCAGGGATCTCCCCAGTCCTAACACAGTGCTCAGCACACAGGAGCTGCTTAAGAGACATAAGTTCAATGAAAAGATATAAGAAAAAGAGAGAGGAAAGGGAAGAGGGGAAAAAGAAGGAAGTCGGGTGGAAAGAAGAGCCACTGAATGCCTGCTTGAATACCTAAAATGATGGGGAGCTCATTACATTATGGGCTCTGAATTCCGTGATTGACAGCTTCAAGCATCAGAAAACCCTTTCTCTTCTGGAGCGGACATCTATACTCTTGTGTGCTGAGGAGAGTTTCGGTGAAAACAGGAGAAGCCTCTGGATGTTCACTTTAATAGTGAGAATAGAGTAAGAGTGTTCAGGGATTGGATATCTCTCTCACCCTGCATGCCCTTACTTAATAAAAAATCCACAAAGGTTAGCACTCATTGAGTGGTTGGGGTGTGCCCGGCCCTTCATATGGATTCTCTCATTAAAACTCCCAAAAGTTTTGTGAGGTAGAACATTATCTCCATTTTGGAGATGAGGAACCTGAGGCTCAGAGAAATTAAGTGACTTAAGTGTTTCCGGTGTCAGAAAACCAGCAGGGTGAGCCCAGAGCCAGACCCCTGCACCGGCATCTCTGCTATGCCCTCTCCCATTGTCCTCCCAGTGGAGATGTAAGGCCTGGTGACGCTGGACAGGGGCATCGAACCCCAAGATGGCAAACTGAAGGTCAGAACACGCCAAGAGTACCTACCAGGACAGACCCCTGGGGGACTGTGTGGCAGAAAATATCCCTGGCCTTCATGTGGGAGGAAGTGCCTGGCTATTTAAAGGGTGGAAATGGAAGAGGCAGGTCCTAGAGCTCAGGCAACATTGTTCCAAATGTGCCCCTGATTCCATGTAACTGCTCAAAACCATAAAATAGAGCTTTGTATCCTGCTCTGGTGCCATCTCCAAATATACTCCTCACTGACAAAAGCATAGAACAGTGTGCCCAGAATGCACATTTGTATAAAAATGTTTATATAAATAGATGTTGCTGGAAGGATATGCAAGAAACCAGTAAACAGTGATTGCCTCCAGGTTTTTAAATTTTTTTACCATGTTTTTAATATTACTTTCATCAAATACATCAGCATGCGCATGCATGCACACACATGTAATTGTCTAAAAAGATTCTCTTTAGAGCCAGGTGGATGGTACCCCTGTGGACAGTGATGTGACTAAAGATCTGTGACCCAGACTGTCTCTCATGCCTACTTCGTCTCACAATGCAAAGGGTTACTTCCTACTGTTAAAAAAAAAAGAGTCCTGGTCTAGGATGCAAAGCTGCCTACATCTATGGGCCATTTCCTAGCCTCTGGAACGTTCTGACATATTTCAGGTCATCAGAGAAAGGGTGGGGCTCCCTGGGGAGAGAGAGAGAGAGAGAAGGTAGAGAAACCTGTGAGTTGGAGTGTGGGGGAGTCTGCCCACCTTAGGTGGAGCGGGCAAGGTCAGCCTGGGATGTGGCAGGGCTTCCATCCCTGCTCCAAGACTCAAGATCCCGGGCCCTCAACGTGCTTCTATGCTCATTTGTGTGTGTGTGCCTGCACGTGGGCTCCCACAGCTTGGTGGCAACGTGTATACCTGGACCTGTATTTCTATCTGCCTCTGAGTGTGGTATGTGCATTCGCATTTCTGTCTCTACTGCTTTATTTTGATAAATACTTTTGAGCATCTGTGTATGGGAGGTGGTGAAAGTATGGCTGCCCGAGGCCATAGCTAAATTCCTGGATTGTGTTATTCACGCAGATATTCATCCTAACCTACCCATGGAAGTAGTGTTGGTTGATTTAGCAAATAAAAATACAGACTGCCAGTCACGGCGGCTCAAGCCTATAATCCTAGCACTTTGGGAGGCAGAGGCGAGAGGATTGCCTGAGCCCTGGGGTTTGAGACCAGCCTGGGCAACTCTACATGGAAAGAATATGAGACCTCATCTCTACAATAAATCAAAAATTAGCCAGGTGTGGTAACACACGCCTATAGTTCTAGCTACTTGAAGGCCGAGGTGGAAGGATAGCCTGAGCCCAGCAGGTAGAGGCTGAAGTGGCCAGAGCATGCCACTGCACTCCAGCCTGGGTGACAGAGTGAGACTCCAACTCAAAAAAATCCCACAAAAACAAAAACAAAAAGACAGGATACCAGCTGCATTCAAATGTTGGATAAACAACAAATGCAATGTTTGGGATATACTTATACTAAAAATTTATTTTTTGTTCATCGGAAATTCAAATTTAACTAGGTGTCCTATATTTTAACTGGCAACCCTACATGGAAGGAATATGACTCCTCATCTCCACTGAGGCTGGGCAAAGCCACGTGACTTGCCTTGGCCAATTGAAAGCGGGTGGAAGTTACCATGGCCTGGTTCTGAGCTGAGGCTTTCAGAGGCACCACACGTTTCTGTTTGCCCTCTAGTACTCTTGTCATCTACCACGGGAGGAGCAACAGCTACTATATCTTCAGCCCAGGCCACGAAGAGACACATGGAACACACCAGAACCTACCTGATCCACAGCTTAGCTCTGCCAGCCCATAGACTCATGAGTGAGAAATCAGTATTCTTTGTTGGAAGTCCCTGAGGCATTGAGGCTATTGGTTGACACAGCAAAACCTAACTTGCACGTTAACGTCATAATCTTGGGCAAGTTTCTTAATCTCTCTGTGCCTCAGTCTCTTCATCTATAACCTATCCCATAGGGGGTTATGAAGATGAAATCAGTACAGGTGCAGCCCTTAGAGAAGGATCTGGCACAGAGAAAGGGCTCTGTTAAGTGCCAGCTATTTCCACAGAGGGACACTGGTTTGTGTTTTCCCCGTGCATGTTGGTATGTGTGTCTAGAGCCAATGATGGACCCAAAAGTATGGCTGGTGACCAGTCAGATAAGGGCGAGGAAGTAGATGCCTCCTCTTACCCAACAGCCTTCATGGAGCTGGGACAGAGGAAGGAAGATTTTCTACTCACCTGTTGGGAGTAACAACCCAGCTGGGGGTGCAGAGCCTGCTGATAGGGCATCCTCGCTGCCTGCTGTGGGTACAAGCCCTGGGGAGAAAGGGAGAGGCTCAGTGTGGTCCAGCAGAGGGCTCCCCACCAGAGAGCAGCAGCTGCTCAGCTCACCCTCCTGGATCTCCAGATAGGGCTAAGTTCAGCCATCAAGCAGCTGGCCAGACCCACAGGCTGCCTGAGGCCAGCTGGATTCAGGTGGGGTAAGCACAATTCACACCACGTGGAAGCCCTTGTTCAGCAGGCTTCATAGCCTTTCTGCTGAGTGTGTTAGACAAGAGCTTCAGAAGCCTGACTGCCTCTTGAATCCCCATGGCAGCTATGTGACCTTGGGTAAGTCACTTCATCACTCTGCATCTCGTTTTCCCCAAATCCCATTCCTAAGACACAGGGTGTCCAGAACTCTCTCTCTCTCTCTCTCTCTCTCTCTCTCTCTCTGCCTCTCTCCCTCTCTCTCTCTCTCTCTCTCTGTGTGTGTGTGTTGGTATGCACCCATGTTGATTACATTACACCTGCATGTGTGTTTGCATTTCTATCTCAGAAGCTTTGTGTATATGTGTACAAATACACAACTGTGAGCCCAGGTGTGTTAGTTTGGGTTTCTGCTGCTGTGTGTATATGTGCCCATGCATATGTCTGTGTCTGTAGCTTACAGGGGGGTTAGTGTGGGGATAAATGAGTTAATGCATCTTCTTAGAATACTATCCAGCACATAGTAAGGCCTCAGTGTTAGCTGTGTTTGTCATCTCTCACTGGCCCCTCCCTTGAAAATGCCCCCTGGTAGCTCAGCCAGATGGGTATCCACAACTCTGTGTGGGGTGGCCTTAAGGTGTCCATGTGTATACACACACACACACACACACACACACACACACACACACACACACACAGATGTAGCAGAACTGCTGCTGTGGATGGGGTCCTCCCATGTCCCTCCAGTCTCAGACTGAACCTCTACCTGTCTGCTAGTTCAGAGTTACCCCTTAAGATGCAGGCCAAAGTCCAAAGCATCTCTCAACCCTGGACATCTTCTCGGAGAATCCTGCACCCTGAGACGTTCCCTCTTTCTGGGCTCAGCTTGTGCCAATGATCAAAGCGTGGCAGCTGGTACTACACCACTGATGATTTCCTTGCAGTGCATGAAATCTCTGATAAGAGTTTGTGGGGAAGTCTCCCAGGCCTCCTTGTGCTCCTCCCTCCAGGTCCCTAGGGGTGCACATCCTCTCAGAGCCTGTCCTTCCTCTCTGCTCCCATGTGTGGGACACTCGAGGCATTTCTGTGCCCAAGGCCCTCCCACCTCCACCAACCCCTGCACCTGAAACCAGTTCCCCTGCTCCCCTTTACTCCAAGTCCTGCAGCCCAGGCAGTTGCTCTTCTCCCTAGAATCCCAGCCTGGCCCCTGTACAGGGAAGTCAGACTGACAGGGCTGCTTTGCCTGTTCCCAGCACTCAGCAAGCTCCAAGGCCACCAGGAAGGTGGCTAAGTGTCCCTCTTCTGTTTCAACCCCTCCTCTCAATCCCATTAGCACTTAACTCTGCTTTCCACAGTCAACTTCCCAGGCCTAAGAATGACAAGCTCCATCATCCCATACCTGCCTGTGCTAGGAACTGCAGAAAACAAATAGCTGCCCACCCCTCTCAGCCCTGGGATGGATTTTCGGGAGATAGTGCCACATTCATTAGCACATGCGACCCTGTATGACATTAAGGACACCTCTTGTTGTTAGAGTTGCAATTTTGTAATATCACAAGCAAGGGTAAATAAGCATTCACTCTCCTTTGCTCAAGGCCGTGGCCTCCTCCCATGTACCTTCCCTCCTTAATTGGGAGCAAAATTCCTTTATGCCAAGCAGCCCAGAGCCTCCTCGGCATCGGGGACTTTGTCTTCCCCATCTCCAAGCCCCTCCACCACAGAGTTCTGAGTAAATTGGATTTGGGACCTCATCTTTATTCTTAATGCTAAGCAGGGAAGGGACTAGGATAGACTGTTCCCCATTTCTCCTCTCTGTCCCCTCAAGGTCTGCAGAGCTCCCTGACCCCATTTCCTTGGAAGATTGGGACTGAATATTAATAAAAGCCAACATCTGTATCATAGTTTAAATTTTACAGAGTCCTTTCCCATCCTTGGACTCAATTAATCCTTGCAATGGTATCACTATCTGCTGCTGATGTTACTGTAATGATTATGAACCCATTTCACAAACAGGAAACCAGAGCTCAGGGCAGTTAACTAACCTGCCTGAGGCTCAACTTGGAAGCAGCAGAACCTTTAATCCCAAGTCTACAGATTTCAAAACCTGCCTTCTTTCTATGACCACCAGCCCCTTGACCAGCATCTTGAAGCTGAATGGCATTGTGAGATCATGAGGGAAAGGTAAGCTATACCTGTCCTCCCTCATCACCTGGAAGGGTCAATGCTTTCCACAGCCGACTTCAGAGATGGGCCCATTTGGTGTCTAACCCACCTCATAGAACCCAGCGGGCCCTACCAGTCAGGGTCCTTCCATCACTTCTCAGAAGCCCAAGAACCTCATAGTCAGCCCAAGGATGCAAACACAAGCATCTCTAAGGACAGAGGAGCTTCATGCTCTGAAAACGATAGGTCCAAATCTCATCCACTCCAAAAAAGTTAGAAGAAATTAACATAGGAAAGAAATGCTATCCCCACTTAATAAAGCAAACCATGGCAAATTAGCTTTACATGGTGAGCTCTGTGAATGCATTTCAGAGTGAATCAGTTTACACTTAATAAAATTATGAAATTGTTTCTCCTTTAGAGGGGGTGGTGCACATGACTGGTTTATTCTAAACCTGTATTAGAATCCAAACTTCTTTGTTATCTCTCTTTTAAAAAAAAAAAAAATTATAGACACGGTCTCAGTATGCTACTCAGGCTGGACTTGAACTCAGCTCAAGTGATCCTCCTACCTCAGCCTCCGAAGTAACTGGTACTACAGGCGTGAGCCACCACAGCCACTTTTAGTCATCTTTGAATCTCCCACCTAGCACAGTGCTCAGCTTATAGTAGGCATGGAACAAGGGTTTTTCATATCACTTAAATGAATGAGTAAATAAATAAATAAAATGAGTAAATCAGTGAGTAGGTGAATAAATGAATAGTGAATAAGCAAACACAAAAATGCAAAGGTAGAAGCATATCAGTGAAGGAGTCAGAGAATCTATGGACAGGACATTTCTCTCAAGAACTGTGTAAGGATACATGGTACTAATATGAAACTGATCCACTTTAATTTCCCGTTATATCACCTTTCATCACAACCTCTCACCTCAATGGTGGGGCATCCACATGAACTTTCTGTCTCTGGGAAGGGAAAGGGTACTTAGTCTCTTTAGCAAACAAAGAAAAGGTTTGAAAACTACACAGAGAGAGGCTTTGCCAAATTCCTTTAAGACTCAGGAGCCAAGCCTGGTGGACCAGCTCAGAGAGAGTCTTTATATGGAGTAGAGAGGATTGCCCCTTCCCCTCAGGACATTTATGCCATAAGGCTTGCTACTGTGTTGTAAAGGAGGAAATGACATTGGGCCCCAAGGGCTGGAGAGAGTGTATGGTGCAGAGAGGCAGGACAAGCTCCTTGCCGGAGACACTTCCTTTTCTACTTCCTCCCTCTAGGCTTTTCCGGCCAGGCTGGGGCAGCAGATTGCCAAGGTCCTGGATGCACAAGACTTTCCCTTCCCAGTACAACTACATGCAATTCTGGAGAGGAGCCAGGGAGGGGAACAGAAGACTGAGAAATCTTGGTGCTGAGCATCTTCCCTGAAAAAAACTGAGTGCTACCTAAAGGGACTATTTAAGTTATTGGATTGGACTAAAGTTTAAACCAGAGTGGACATTTATTTAATTTTTCCTTCCTTCTACCCAGTGGGCAGCAGCTCTTAAGGGATATTAAGTTAAATCAACAAAATAGAGAAACTACATTTTCCCTGCATAAATAAGTTCTGTGAGTAAAGTTTCCAGCCCTGCTACAATACAAGTGCTTCACCATACCTTTATGTCTGATCACTGATTTTCCCTTCTAGCTGTGAACCCATGACCAAGAAAGTATGCCAAGCCTTGGTATCCTCAAAGGATTGGTTCCAGGACCATCTGCCCCTTGCCACCTCCCCCACCCCATAGCAAAATCCACGTCCCTGGCATAAAATGGTGCAGTAGTTGCATATAACTTACACACTTCCTCCCATATGCTTTAAATAATCTCTAGACTACTTACAATACCTAATATAATATAAATGTTATGTAAATAGTTGTTATACTATATTGTTTTTTATTTGTATTTTTATCACTGTGTTGCTATTTTTTATTTTTTATTTTTCAAATATTTTCCATTTGCAGTTGATTAAATCTGCAGATGTGGAACTTGTGGACACAGAGGGCCAACTGAAATTTGTCATCCAAACCAGGACACTTGAGCGTAAAAAGTGGTGTCATTAATATTATTCTGGGACAAAAGACCTCAGCTGGGACTGTCCCAAGTAATCTAGAATGCACATCATCCACCATTAAAGGAAGTCATAGGAAGCAGGTGGGAAACAAGCCATCCACGTATCCTGGGAGCCCACGCATTTAACCAGCCATAACAAACAAAGCAGCTCTGGATTTAAGTTCTCAAACTTGCCACTGTGCGCTTATGTTGGCAGCACCGTACAAACGTCCCAGTAAGGTTTCAGACCTTGGTATATCAGTGTCTCACAGCTATCTTTGTGTCAACATGTGATGGCGTCTTGCTGAGTGGTGTTCATTGTTGTTGTTACATGTTTTTGTGTGTCATTGTGAGAATGTTGGAACTTGAATGAGAGCAACAAACAAACAGTAAATTTCTTGTTAAACTTGGCAAGAGTGGAAATGAAATCAGGGACATGTTAGTCCAAGTTTATGAGAATAATGTCATGAAGAAAATGGTAGTGTGCAAATGGATTAAATATTTTTCTGAGGGGAGAGAAAGTATCACTGATGAAGAGAAATCAGGAAGGCCAGTAGCCAGCAGAACTGATTAAAACTTTGCAAACATTTGTAGAATTGTGCATCAAAATCATCAGCTGACTGTGAGAAGCATAGCAGATCAAACAAACACTGATAGAGGAACAAGAAAAACTTAACTGAAAATCTTGACATGAGAAAGGTGTGTATAAAAATGATCCTGAAGAAGCTCTTGTATCACAATGCACCAGCTTACACAGCACAGTCTTTGAGGGAGTTTTTAGCCAGTAAACAAAAAACTATATTGGAACACCCTCCCTACTCACCTGATTTGGCCCCCCAATGACTTTTTTCTTTGCCTGAAGATAAAGGAAATATTGAAAGGAAGACATTTTGATGACATTCAGTACATCATGGGTAATGCGATGACAGCTCTGACAGCTATTCCAGAAAAAGCGTTCCAAAATTGCTTTGATGGGTGCACTAGATGCTGGTGATCACAGTGATATTCAGCAATGAGGTATGTAGCACTTTTTCTAGGATGAGTTCGTGAACTTGTCAGACCTCATGTAGGGTGTGTGTGTGTGTGTGTGTGTGTGTGTGTGTGTGTGTGTGTGTGTGTATGGACCAAATGATAAGTCTGATATGGCCACAATGAAAAAATAACTGGCAAGCTGACACTTGATAATGGCCTCCTGTAGTCCCAACAAAGCCTCTTGAGTGTAGGGAAGGCATTCGAGAGCATCTAAAGGCTCTTTGTGAAACAGAACCCCTGCAAGCCATACCTCTTCCATAGGGAGAACCCTCATGGCTAGTCAACTACAGGAGAGCCAGGGCCATTCACTCACCTGATACTGAGGAAAGGTGGAATGATTTGTGAACACCGGCGGGGGTGGATAGCTCATGTTCAGCCAGAATGGCTGGTTCAGGGTTGCTGAGGTCAAGGCTGTGGCAAAGTGTGGGGTGAAAGTATTCCCCGTGCTCTTGAAGTTGGTCTTGTCAGCAGTCATCACGGGTGGGTTAACTGTAAGTCAAGGGAAAGGGAAAGTGATTCAGTGACAGAGACAGGGGGAGGCCAGGATGCCTTCAGCACCATGACTGTCCCAGGAATTCACATTCTTCCAGGTCAGGTCCTTTAAGCTCCAAGAGGGCTCTTCAAAGTTCTGGTGAATTTCCAACCACAGGAAAACATAATTAGTTCACACCTTGCCAATTTGGAAGGGGTGAAAATCCCAGCATGGTCTGGCTTGGAGCTTCTGTTTCCATCATTCACGAGTAAAGGAGTCAGTTTAGTAAAGGGATACAAAAAAACCAGGTTGCTAGGGCTATATTTCATCTATGACAAAATGAAATTTTTTCAAGTGCTTTAGAAAAATACAGCTTTATATGAACCATTGCTATGCCATTGGAATTCATTCTTATCAGATTAAAGGTGTCCCTCCCTAAAGACATGTACTTGGCAATACTGAGAAGCTTTCACAGGTTGGTTGTATCTATATAGGAATAATTTTTTTAGTATTTCAAAACATTAAGTAATTCAGCATGGAGCATCTAAGAATTAGTCTAAATGAATGAAGTTAGGTTGAGTTGTTTCAGGATATGAATCCTGGATTCTTCCCTTCCACAAGATGTCCTGCAAGCTTATAGAATCAGAAATGGGCCCTCAGGTTCCCCCTATTGGCATCTTTTTTTGGGGAAAAGGAGATTTGACTAAAACAGGGGTCAAGAAAGAGAAAAAAAGGACATAGATAATCTCAAAGTAGAAATAATCTAAAATTTGATTTTTTTTGACTTGGGCAATTTGAGAGGGTATGATTATGCTGGGTCAGGGCTGTATTCAAATGTGGCTATTAATAAGGCCTATGTGATCCCAAAAGCCAACTCCATTTCTCTAGCAATTATATTCCTCATAAGGATATAAGGAGAAAGTCATTTTCCCCATTTTATGGGCTTAGAAACTGGACACTTCTAGAAAGGCAGTGACTTGCCCATAAATAAGCAGCCATTTGGTGACAGAGCCACCCCTGGGACCTATGAGGGTTTCTGGAATCCCTTCCTCTGCAGTTCCTTCTTGGGTAGGGTTGGCTTACATTTCAGCTCCAGTCCATCCGCTTCCACTTTACTGCGAAGCTTCAGCTGCCCGCTTGGGTTCTTGGTGGTCCCGAGGAACTCACAGAGTAGGTTCTTCTCGGCTGGACATGCAGGCTTCTTGGCTGGCAGGGCCATGGTGCCCACAGGGTGGCTACAACCTTCCTCACCACAAGTGTCCTTCCGGCTCTGGGGCCACTGACTGAGAAGGAAGTTCTCTCGACCCTTGATCGGCTCTTTGGTGCCAAGGTTCCGTTCTACAGCAGGAGGAAAATTGAGTCAATGCCTCTGGAAGGCCAAGTTCTGGATGTGAGGAGCACCTTCTTGTGGACTACATGATAAATTCTCTGTACCACACATCTGAGGCTCAGACCACTCTGGGAGACCCTCTCTCAGTCAAATACAACTTCAGTATCTCTCCGAAGCCTTTCCTAACCACTGCTCATTCTGATCTTCCCATCTCACGCCTCCATCTGTTCACTCATCCATCCATCCATCCACCTGTCCACCCATCTTTATCTTCCCTCCATCCATCTACCCATTCCTTCTTCCTTATATCATTCCTTTCTTCCAATTACCTTTCTTTTCTCCCCTTCCTTCCTTCCTTCTTTCCCTCCCTCCCTCCCTCCCTCTCTCCCTCCTTTTCTTCTTTCGGTCATTCCTTCCTTCCAACCACCCATAGTGCCAGGCTGAGGATACAAGGATGATTTGGACACAGTTCCTGCCTTCAGTGAGCAATGCATTTTGGCCCCTCATGCTGGACTCTACTTCTGTTTTGTTGCTCACAGGTGATTCAGCTCATTTGTCAGTGCCAAGCCCTGACCTGAGCGCTGGGGACACAGTTATGAGTCAGAGCCAGACTCTGCCCTGCAGGAGCCCACAACAAGGAAGAAGAGAGAGACGTGCCCAGAAATAGCTCCAGGACAAAGCAGATGGACACTATGAGGTGACACAGGGATGAAATGGAAGAAGAGGGTGGCTAAGACTGCTTCCATCTGAGAGGGCCTTCCTTCCCAGAAGGAAGTAGGGTTTCAGCAGCACCTTATATCCAGGGGTATTGAGGAGGAGGCACGGCAGACATGGGTACCTGTGGGCAGCGGCCTGGAAGCATTAAAGAGACTGCGTGAGTAGGTGGGTGTGGCTGGAGTGTGGAACAAGAACAGGATTGGTGCCAGACCCAGGTATCTCTCCAAAGAGACTGAGCATTTATTTCTCCAATGCAAAGACACTGCCAGGACCACTGTGGGATTCTTCACAGCAGTGGTCTGCATCATATTTCTTTTCTAACAGTGGAACTCTTTCTCCAAACAAAATTAAGTATGGGAGGAAAAGTATATGTGTGTATGTGTATATGTGTGTGTGTGTGTATTTGTATGTTTGTTTATTTTAAGCAGAAGATTTATTTACTTATTTAGAGACAAGGTCTCTCTCTGTTACCCAGGCTGGAGTACAGTGGCATGGCCATAGCTCACTGCAGCCCTGAACTCCTAGGCTCAAGAGATTCTTCCTCCTTAGCCTCCTGAGTAGGCAGGAATAAGGGCGCATATCACCGTGCCAAACTTGGCAGGGTGTTTTAAAGTCATCATTCTGGTTGAAGCAGACAAGAGAGTTTTGCCTTCCCAGTCACCTTCACTGCTGCCCCAGCCTGGAGGTCTTTGAAGGCCTCCACAGAGCTTGGCTAGGAAACCTGGCTGCCTGTCGGATGGCTGTGCACTGCTCTAGCCCATGGCAGGCACCTGGGATTTCTCTGGTAGCAGCACAGAAGACCTGTGCCCCAGTGTTACCTGTTGAGAGTGGACCTGATCCCACCAGCTCTTGGACCCCCTGGCCCAATGACTTGGGGACTGAGTCTGAACGGGACAGGGCCTGCCCTCCTAGCACCATCCCAGCAAAGGAAAGAGCTGCTCTTGCCTGAGCCAATTTAGAAGAAAATGACATTTTTAGCAAAACACACCCTAGAGTCTCTTCCAAGAGTTTCTCTAGTTGCCGAGTTTAGTCCCCAGCCAGTGTGCTGAAATAACAGTACCCACCAATAATAGCCCTTTCCCCAGAGGCCTACGCACCTGCAGCCTCATATACACACCTACGATTGCCTTAAGCATCTACAAAGCTTCCTCTTCCAAGGTCCCAGTATACAGACACACATGCACTCCTGCCTAGAGTTCCTTGACTCACTAACACGAACACAATTACACACACAGTGGATGCATGCACAAATGTACACGCAGACACACTCAGATGCACCACTCCTGCATTTTCTCTAACAAATAAACACACATGAAAGTTCCTTTTGGCATACCTCTGCCCACACTTTTGTATACACAGGCACACAACAATGCTGAGGGGTGGGGTGGGGGGAGACAGAACTACCTCCAACCCAGCAGTTCCATCTGACAGGGAGGTATCCCTGCAACCCTCCCAGAGAAGAAGTGGAAGGAGGGTCCCCTCCCTCTGGGCAAGGCTCAACCCTCTCACACCCACACCCTTGGTGTCAAAGCCTCTGGTTCCTAGAGGGCTGCCCAGGACCCAGAGTACAGCTTGCTATCTACAGCTCAGATTCCTTGACCTTCTCACAATGCTTCAGGTCACAGAGTGTTCTCTAGGGTGCCCTTGTTCCTGGTTTTTCAGAGCGATGGATTTGGGCCCTCCTGATCGGGCATCTCTCAATCATCCATCCATGCTCACAGCCTGGGAGGTAATTGTTCTTTTGATTGAAATGAGTATGCTTTACTCTCCTGGTGACTGCTGGCTATAGGCAAAGGCCACTGCCATCAGTCTGCCTTCCTGGAACCATCCAATCTGAGTGCTAGATCAGAACAACATGGAGAATCCTGGGGTAAGGTGGGAGAAACCTGAGTGGCCAAGTTTCCTAGGAAGGATGTAAACTCCTTAATGAAGGGATGGGGAATGTACTTTTCTAAAGTCTCTGGAGTCCCAGGGAACAAATTCTGAGGCCAACAGCCTGACCTGCACCTGGATAATGTATGCATTCACCCCCTTGCCCCAGAGAGAGAGGACCAGGCCTCGTGGCTGGAGCAGGTGCCTCCATTATAAGCCAGGTAACCTAGCTGCCAATCAAATTTTCCTCCTAGTCATCTGACAATCCCTGTGCTGTGGTTTACCCTGGCCCCAGCTGGGGTAAACATTTCCTTCAATGGACTCTGGACACCTGGTGGATTCTAAAATCGAGCCAGTTACTACACGGTGCCTATCTCTCTTCTCAGAGCCTGCTGGAATTAGGGCCTCTGAGATTGCTTCCACAGGCCGTGCCCAGCACATGGGCATCCAGTGCCTGTGGGAGGGCTGTGGGAGCTGAGAACAGCCTGCACCTGGGGGGCTGTGCCCACCAGAGAGGCTGCTTTGTCCTGCCTTGCACAAAGATGCCTTATGTGCACACCACAGCCCTGATTGGCTTCCTGGGAAGGACCTCCTCCTCGCAGGCCCACTCTCTAGCCCTGTTCCAGCCCCACTCACCCAACAAGTGGTGCCTCTCCACAGCGGGGTCAGCCTCGGGCTTGGAGCAGATCTTGGCAAACACAGGAAGCTGGTTCTTCTGAGCAGGGAGCTCAGGGAGCTTGTTGGCGGGTGCAGGACGAGGTAGGGGCGGCAGCCACAGGAACGGACCCAGCCCCGTGGGCTCCCTGGGGCTAGAGCCACTGAACATGCTGTTCTGTAGGAAGTCCTTGATGACCCTTGTCTCCTCCAGCACCATCTTGTTGTCGGGGGTCTTAGACATTTCAGTGGATTTCAGCGGGAACTGGGCCAGGAGCTTGCTGATCTCTGAGTTGGAGGCACCCAGACTGTGGTCCCTGTCCTCTGTCCCTTTGGTGCTCTTGACCTTTGCAGCACGCAGGATGCCCGTGACTGTGGATGTGGCAGAATCACAGTCCTTCCGGCTGCCGATAACGGACATGGCCACCTTCTGCCCCAGAAGCTTGTCACCGGCAATGATGGAGGCTCCAGGGCACTCACTGCTGCCTTCCGCCGGAGAAGGTGACAGAAGAGGCACAAAAGTGCAGGGAGCTGGCTCTCTGGTCCCCTTGGAAGAGTCACCAGGCACCTCCATGTTCCCCGAGCTCTCTTTGACCAGGACGAGGTGCTCTTTGGTGAGGCTCAGGAACTCCTGCTCCACCAACAGGGAGATCTCATCCTTGCCACTGCTGAACTCCAGAGCTCTGCAAACAAGTCGGAGAGGTGGACCACGTTAGTGCCAGCCCATCAAGGGGTGGCTCTGCAGTAGGACCCAGGCCCCAGGGAAAGGAGAGGGATGCATAGCGTGACTGAAACATTTCCAGGCAAGAGAACCCACTGCTTTCTCAAGGGAGCAAAGCTTTCTCACGCAGCTGACTCCAGAGGGTTCTAAACCACACCAGTGGGTATAGCACTGAGAACCTGGGTCTGGGAAAGGGGGTACCCAGATCTTCTCCCAACAACCTTGCTGAGTAAACCAGAGCAAGTCACAGCCTCTCTGAGCCTTAATTTTCATCCATCCCTCCATCCATCATGCTCAGGACCTGAAGCAATAAAAGACCAGGTAGGTGGTTCACTGGGGAATTTTGCCTGGCAGCAAAAAGTTCAAGAGTGAACCAACAGCTCTAAGTGCATAATCTAGAGTGCAGGGGCTGAACCCTCGGAAGCCCCCAGGTGCACATGCAACCCTCATCCCCTAAATGCAGAATGGTGGAGTGGACAGTCTGAGCTCATACCCTAACTCGATCACTTCCCATCTGTCTGACCTGGGGAGGATGTCCAGCGTCTAGGTACCCCAGTCTCTTCCTTTCACCAGTAGGAATATTACAGAGGTGCAAAGCACTTCTGACAGTGTCTAGAACCAATTAGGGGTGGATCAAGGGTGAGCTATCATGTCTATATCACTGTCGGCCTGCCTGGGCCTCTGAATTCCATACTGTGGCCCCATGGATACCTGTGTACATCCTGGCTGGCATGACCTCTGACCAGATTATGGCCTCTGGGCTGGGCTTCCCTTCATGGGCAAGTTGGTTGGTCCCTGTACTGATTCAAGGGTCTTCCTGTACCTTGGACCCTGGGCCACTAGTTGCATCCTTGCTGGCCAGCACCTGCCTGATGGCACCTGATGGTCCCTGGACTCTAGGCTCCTGGTTGTGGGTTCACTCCAGGTGTGGAAGAGGGTGGCAATCCTACTGGCCTGGCTGGTGGCCTTATGTACCTCACCAGCATCCATGGCAAGGGGGCCCTTATTCCTTGATGTTCCAAGTGGCCAGGCTTGCCCGCTTAAAACCATTGGCTGTCAGATGGGCTCCAGTGAGGGGTGAATGAGTCAGCCTACACCAAGTATCCTGGAAGCTGCTCAGCACTCTCCCCTGGGAGGCTGAATGAGAAGATGATGAAGAAGAGGTAGAGAAAAATGAAAGCGCCCCATGAGGGGTGTCTCAGCTGCTGTGGCTTAGACTTTGCAGTCGGGAGGCTCAGCACACAGTCCAGCTGTGACCAGCCACTCACAGAGGGCACAGTGAGCCTCAAAAACAGTGACCATGGAGTGCTCCCAGCAGTGACCATGCTTTCCTGGTAATGCTCTTTGTGTATGAGTGTGTACACACACATACACACACGCATACACACACGTGCACACGAGCATATATGAGCACATTTGATGTACACACACATGAACAGAGACAGGCAGGCACACAACTCACACATACACAGAACCAGGGGAGTAGTCACATGTTTGCCAATCTATCTGAATGGGCACTGGTTACAGTTATAGAGGCTTCCTGCTGTGCCGGGCAGGAAACCTTTAGTTTCTGGATCCTGATGAGGTCCAGGGGGTCCTGGGCAGAGACTGGGTGACCAGGGAACCTGGAGAACTTGGGAAGAGCTATGTACTAAAGACACAGGAATGTGTCAATATTCCAACAGCTAAGACAACCGTACCTCCTGAACACAGACCCGTGTGTAACCTTACCAGGCTTGGAGGCCAGGAGTGACCCAGCAAAAACCTGATTGCAGCCAAACAGACCTGGGTTGGAATCTGGGCACCACTGTTAACTTCATGCCAGGCCCGGGGACATCAGGGTCCTCCCCTATAAAGTAGGTATCCTAACAGCAGTCGCTCATGGGATGGTTGGGAGACTGTGGGAGGTAACCCGTATGTGAGCACAGCATGGAGCCCGTGCCTAGGACACACTTGTCAGTGTTGGTTGTGAGCACTGGCTGGCGTGGGCTGTCCTGCAGACTCCTGGAGGGCTATTAGGCCATGGGTGCCGCGAGGCTAGTTCCTGCTCCTGATTTTCTCCTTCCCTCCACTCTCTCTCCTCTCCCTCTCCCCTGCCCTCTCCTTTTGCCTCCTTCCCATGTCTAGACTTAGGCCTATAAATAGGCCTCACTCTCACGGCTGTGCACCCTGGTAACAATCAGAATAAAGGGACTGCCAATCCATGGTCCCAAGTGTTAGATCCTGCTCCTCTTCTTCCTCTTCATCATCATCCTCAAAGGGAACAGGTGAGTCTTCAGTCACAGAAATCAGACGTTTGAAGGACTCAGGGTTTTTTGGTTTTGTTTTTTTTTTGCCTCCCCCCCCCAAATATCTTGTAAAGCAAGCTATGTATCAACAGCTTTTCTGAATTGAAAAGACACACTACAATTATGTTAATTTTTTAAAATTGTGATAATGGTATTGTGGTTTTACTTAACAACAACAAAAGAGAGTCTTTATCTCTTAGAGATAAATACTAAAGTATTTATAGATAAAATTATGCCTGGGTTGCCTTTAAAATTAATCCAGCAGGAGGAGGGAAAGGAAAGGGGACAGAGTAACAGACGAAACAAAATTGGCCATATGTTGATCATGGCTAAAGCCGGCGATAGCTAAGTCGGGTCATCACACACTAGTTTCTCTACTTTCGTCTGTATTTGCTTTAATAATAATTATCGTCTGTTTTGTTTTTAATAAAAATGTTACACTTGCACACAAACACAAGACTCACCACTGAATCCGTTCAAGTACCAGCTCCAAGAGGCAGCTTCTGAAAGACCCACAGAGTCCTCAGGTCCCTGTACCAAAAATACCCCAAAGTGGTCCCTTCTCAGCAGCTGAGAGGATACTCCTACCCTCCCCAACCTGAAGCCAGGCTGGCAGAAAGGAAACACCGGGCCAAGTGTGGAGCCCTGTACTGCTTTGTCCTAGGTGCTGCTTTTATGCCTTGTGTTTCTCGTCTGTCAAGGTTAAACCGTGAGCATTCTATACATTGTGCAAAACACTCAACACAAGCCTGGTGCATGGTGAGCCCTCAAGAAACGTTCACAGCACAATTATTATAATGTTATTATCAATGGTTAGATCTCAGTTGTGTCACACTCACATATGTCTCTGTCCAACTTCCCTTCACAGGAACCTAAAACTATGACGAATGTACCTTCCCCACTCACACACTGCAGGCCTTGTGGTGTCTGAGGAAACACTCCTGTCCCTCCCAGTTGGAACTTCCTCCCTCTCTTCCTTCTCTCCATTCTGAACTCACAATGGCTCTCAGGGGACGTGGCTTACAGTCCCAACCCCTCCGGGTCATTCTCCTCTAGACACACTTCAGGGGCCAATGAGCTCTTAGAAAGCTGACATTCCCAGGAGGGGCAGTGTCATACCAAGAATGGAGGGGCCTACTTTGGCTGTGAGCCTTCTGTGCACCCCTGAAAGGTTGCCCTAGGGCATCCAGTCTTCCTGGCCCCTACAAACTCCCATTTCCCTTGCATTTGCCATGAGCCAACTGTGGACCCGCCAGGAAACCAGCCATCACATATATGCTCACATTTCCTCTTCTTCACAGCCCTAGGCCATAGCCAGTGTCATCTTCACTTTACAAATGGGAAGAGTGAGCCTGAAAGGTTAAGGACCTTGCCATTGAGCTGGGGAAGAGGCAGGTGTGGGGACGTGGCAGAGTTCAGATGCCTCCCCTACCTCCTCCTCACACCCAGCCTGGGCTTCCTTTCAGGAGATAGTTATCCAGCGAGGTCTCCCTCTCCCTGGGCTTTGATCCCCAATCTGAATGCAATCTGAATGCAATCAGGGATATTGCTGATCTCATCCCAGCACTCCGTCCTGTGGAGGATCATCACAGTAAATCCTGAGCCTATCATCCATGGCATTAGTTGTCCCTGACAGCTCCATGTCAGCTGCGTGTCTGATGAGCACATCTGTGGAATCTTCCGCCAATTTATGAACAGAAAAGTTGAGAAGGAGAGAGTCCAGGGGAGAGCCTAGGGACACTGGCGGGGACCCTCTTCTCAGCCTGACAGTAATCCTGGATCAACACCTTGGGGGAATAAACCAACCCAATTATTGTCATTCCATCTCCATTCCTCCCTGAGAGCCTTTATCAAGCCCCTCACTGGCATTGAGACTCAGTGCGTAGTTAGTGATCAGGGACTTCTTTCCTCCCTCACCTTGCCCCCTCCATCCCAAGAATGCAAGATTTACTTGTTCTTATTTGTTCTAGAAAGCTGCATGCCCACAGAGCTAGGATATTCTCAGAACTCAGATCAAACCATTCCCCTGTTAAAACCCTTGTGTGGATTCCCATTATAAACAGGATAAAATCCAAACTCCTTTATGATCCCCAAAGCACTCCATGAATTGGCCCCATCTTCCCCTTCTCCCAGCCACACTGGTCTTTAATCTACTCCTTGAAATGCCAAGTTCATTTCAGTCCCAGGGCCTTTGCATTTCCTATGGAATGCTTTCCCCCAGGTTGTCTCTTGACTGGTTCCTCCTTATCATTCAAGTCTCGACTCAAGTGTCATATTCTCGAAGTGGCCTTTTCTGCCCATTTTTCAAAAATATGCTCCTGCCCCCTTCTTACTAGGCACTCTTATTCCAATCTGTTTAAGTTATTCATGATATTTATCACTGCCATATAGTATCTTTGTTATGTATACTCCCCACAATAGCAAACACTCCACTGGGACGCAGACTCTATCTTGTTCACCACAGAGGCCTCCAAATCTGGAACAGTGCTTGGCACATAACTCCAGCTCGACCAGGATGTGTTGAATAAAGGAATGAACATGCTCACTTGCCTTTACCCATATCTGGCTCTCAAAGCACACTTCTGTTTCTCTCCCAGACCAAAAACAACCCAGCTCCTTCCACTGGTTGCAACCTGTCTGGCTTTGTTTTTAAGAGATGGAGCCTTGCTCTGTC